CTTCCAAATTAGGGAGGAACTGGGATATATTTGTTATCTGCTCTGTCTTAAATTCTTGGCTTGCAAAATAAGTATTAAAACATGGCTACTTAACAATTTGTAACTGAGCTGCCCTTCCCCTAGGGTTCTCTGCCAGGAACAAAATTGATGTGAAACTTGGTGTTCTTGCCACTTTCTCATCCCTCCCACGCCTCTGTCACCCACCTGGCACCATCCTCCCTCACTCCCCCTGCCTTTTCCTCAGTGAATTCCAAACATCCTCAAAGACCCACTCTCAAAGATGCTTTGTGGCTGTGTCCAAAGATAATTTTCATGATGACCGTATTTCACAATTACAGGAAATCTCAAAATGTAGAAAAAGGAAAGTAAAAATCACCTGTAATTCCATTGTTCCCATTTGCTCAAATTCACATCATCCTCATTGGTTCAGATTTAACATTTGATAGTTTCCTATCCAATCTTTTATGTACTAGTAGTTGTCTGTAAGGTTGAGATCATACATTTTATAAGGCACGAGTACAAAACAGAGCATATGCAGATGCAGCCTACTTTTTCCCACGCCTGGAAAGCAGCCACAGCACAGTTTTGAAGCATGTGTTTTTGACTGAACATTATGAGTATTTTTCCCATGTCAGTAAATAATCTTCAAAAACATGATTTTAAATGCATTATATTTCATTGTGTGATAACACCATTATTTATCTTTTTCCCTACTGTTGCCTATTATGTCTATCTCCCTCCCCCTTTTTTCTGGATAATAAATAACACTGCAATGAGCATTCTTGTATATAAATCCTGGGCATATCTATTATTAGTCCCATTAGAGAGATTCCTTGAAATGCAATATCCTGGGTCAAAAGGAATGAACATTTTTAAGGCTCATAACTTTTATTGCCATTGCCTTCCAGAAAGGTTTTAACCACCAGTTGCTGTTGGGTCGATTCCAACTCGTGGCGACCCCATGTGTGTCAGAGTAGGACTGTACTGCATGGGGTTTTCAATGGCTGTTTTTTCAGGAAGTAGATCACCAGGACTTTGTTCCAAAGCACCTCTGGGTAGACTCAAACCTCTAACCTTTAGGTTAGCAGTTGTGTGCCATCGAGTTGATTCCAACTCAGCGGACCTTATATGACAGAGTAGAACTGCCCCATAGGGTTACCTAGGCTGTAATCTTTATGGGAGCAGATCGCCAGTGTGGAGCCGCAGGTGGGTTCAAACCGCCGACCTTTCGGTTAGCAGCCGAATGCTTAACCACTGTGCCACCAAGGCTCCTTCCAAGAAAAGTTGTAATAATGACCTATAATTCCTCCAGCAGTGAATTAGAATATTATTTCTTTCCACTCCTATCATTGGTTTAGTATTTATTTGTTTATTCACTTCTTACAGTATTACCACTTTCTGCCTTGTTTTCAGACTGACTTTTTGTATCTGCCCTTGTTCATTGAAGGATGTAGCAGGGTTCCATTTCACATAATGAGTACTTTAGGGTGCTTCTAACTCCTTCTGACGCCCATATAGCATAGAGCTCTCTCATGCACATATACCCTATTTGGTCCCCACAGGAAACCCCTTACCAAACACAAAATAAAAACAATTTTTCCTGATTATAAAAATAATATATGTTGATTTTATTCAGACAAGTCAGAAACTAAAAAAGAAGACTCATTAATAAACTGACGACCCAAAGAAAAACATTAATAACATTTTGGGATAGATCCTTCTAGACATTACTTTTCTGTTTATAGTCACATACATTAGATGTATGTGTGTTTAAGAGTTTTAATTATCCAAATGGGATCAAGTTATACAGTCAATTTTAAAAATTTTTGTACCTTTCTATGTTAGTAAAAAAAAAAAATTGAGAGACAGTATAGTTTGGTAGTTTAAAAGCAAGGTCTCTTGAGCCTTTCTGCCTGTGACCTTAGACCAGTCACTTAACTTCTCTGTGCCTCAGTTTCCAGATTTGTAACATGGGGATAACAATTGTTCCTATCTTAGAGGGTCATTGTAAGGAATAAATGAGTTAATATATGTAAGACAGTTAGAACTCTGCCAACATAGAAACAATTAGTGTGTTAGCTGTTATTATTTAAATAATATACATATTTAAAAATATTTATTTATATTCCAATTATAGAAGTATAGAAGTTATGAGAAATACTCACTATAGAAAATTAAAACATTACAGAAATAAGTAATGTTAAAAGTTAGTCCATATGTACCAAAATCTGTCCATATACACTATACGCCAAAATGTTAATGGTTACCTGAGACAGTGGAATTGTTGGGGACTAACTTTCTATGATTTTTTTTGTGTAATTTTTAAAGCCACATGAGCTCATCATACATATGTTATTTTTTAACTTGCTTTTATTACTTCATGATATATTTTAGACATTTTTCCATGTGCATGCCACATTTACCTCATTCTTTTTGACAGCTCCGTGATATTTCATTGCATAGCTGTGCCACAATTTATCCAACATTTTCTCAATATTTTTGCTATTACAAACAATGCTTCAGTAAACACCTCTACATGTCCCTCTATGTGTACTCACGTGAGTTTTTCTATAGTCAAAATTCTTAGAAGTGAAATTGCTGGCTCAGTGGGTATGTAGACTTGTAAAGAAAGGCTTTTCATACTCATCACATGGCCCTCTGGAAATGTCATACTAGTTTAAACTCTCATCAGTAGTGCGTGACTCTGCTTGTCTCCCCACACTCTTTTCAGCAATGAGTATCATCCTATGCTTTCATCTGTGTCAGTTTGATAGATGCAGATGGATCTCTTTGTCAGTTTAATTTGCTTTTTAATGCTAGTAAGGTTAAAACTGTTTTCCTGTATTCATTGATCATTTGTACTTCTTATGAAAATTGCCTGCTTATTGTTCTTTATTGGAATGTTTGACTTTTTTGTGTGTGTCTTTTTCTTATTGATTTGTAAGTACTTTTCTATATTAATTATAGTAAATCACTGTCTAGCATATATGTTGCATAAATTTTCCTACTTTATTGATTTTTTTTAAATCTTTTTTCTTCTTAATCTTCAGATTGGATAATTTTTACTGATCTATCTTCAAGTTTACTTATTTTCTCTGCCATCACTATCTTGCTACTAAATCCATGCATTGAATTTCTTAACATTTTCATTTAGTTCTTTTTTATATTTTCTATTTCTCTGCTAAGAGTTACTCTCTTTTCATTTGTTACAAGCGTATTGTCTTTTACTTTTTTGAGCATAGTTATGATAGCTGCTTGAAAATCCTTATCCGGTAATTCCAACATCTGGGTCCTTTCTCTTAAGGATAAGTCATGGTTTCTGGTTTTGTATGTTGAGTAATTTTGGATTGTATCCAGAAGATTAGGCACATCTGGATTCTTTTAGTTTGTTTTAGCAGTCTACTTTAGGTAGACTCAGACTGCAAACTCTGTCTCACCTGTGGTGAGCAGCAGCTCAAATCTCAGTTCAATTATTTTATCTTTAGCTGGGCTGTTTGTAGACTGCCTTACACATGCATGCTTGAGAATTTACACATGAACCTGGGGTTCCTTTTATCTGACCTTTTGCTTTCCGGGATATTTCTCCCTCACTCTCTAGCAACCTGTTTGATCCAGGCTCTGTTCCCTGGTTCCTCAGGTCAGAAAGATGGGGCTGTCTGGAGTTTTTGCTGCCCTGCACTTTATCACAACTGTGGTCTGTCCTTAGGGCAGTCACCAAAAGTGCAACTAACCCCATGCTGGCCGCTTCCTCCAAATGTAACTCCCCCTCCAAAATCTTCCTGCCTTGTTCACTCTCCAGAGTCCTCAGGTAGCTGTTTTTGTTCTTGTTTTGCTTTGTTTTCAGAGTTTATGGTTGCTATTTGCAGAAGGGTCCATCTGTTAAGAGCTTACTTGTCCATACCAGGAGCAGAACTCCAGTTTATAAATTATCAATATTTTTGGTATATGTAAGTTTAATACTTTTACTTAGTCAAATTTATCAGTCTTTTCTTTTGTGGCTTCTGAAGTTGGTATTCTGCTTATAACCGTCTTTTCCACTTTATAAGTATAAAAAATTTTTTCAAGTTGGACAGAGCTTGGGTTTGTGTTGGACTTCTATTTTCTTCAAGTTGGACCAAAAACTGCCAAAGCTGGTGTTAATGTAGCTGCGGTGGAAGCAGAGAGGAAAAAAGAGGGCAGAATCAAGGAATGGAATGATAAGACTTTGGCTAATTGGCTGTTCCTGGTGAGGGAGAGGGAGGTAAGACTATAGTTGGAAAACAAAGTGAATAGCAATGCAATTGATGAAGGGCATTTTAGGACTGGGATATATATCCACTTCCTCAATCCAGACCCCCACCCAGAGTCTTTCTGAGATAGTCTCAGCCAGATCTGTCACTCCTGCTGCAGTTCACTTCCAAACGAAAAAAAAAACCAAACCCATTGCTGTAGAGTCAATTCCGACTCATAGCAACCCTATAGGCGTAGTGGTTAAGAGCTATGGCTGCTAAGCAAAAGGTGAGCAGTTCGAAGCCACCAGGTGCACCTTGGAAATTCTATGGGGCAGTTCTACTCTGTCCTATAGGGTCACTGTGAGTCCACTTCCAGCCCATACCAAATACAGAAAGGTACCCCAGCAGGATGCAGAAGAGGGAGCTGGGTGTGTCTGCCCTCCGGGTAGCGGGATCAAACCTAGATTAATCTGTTCTCAGAAAGGCAGGAGAGTGTGGTGGTCAAGGGCCTAGGCTTTGGAGTTAAAATTTTTCACCTGGAGTTAAAAATTAACTCTCCCATTGTTAGCTGCTTCAGCTCTCTGAACCTCAGTTTCCTCTTCTATAGAGTACGAATAAAAATAGTACCCATCTCACAGTGCTATGGAGATTTAAGTGAGACGATGCTCGTTAACGCTTAGCTCAGTCAGATGAGTGTCGGGCCACTGCACTATCATGTCAGAAATGCGGTTTGCCACTCACCTGCTGTGGGGCTTGGACAAGCTTTGCAATCTGTGGTTCTGTCTTCAGGAATTTCCATGTCTGGAATGAATCCTGGTTTACCCGAACCGACCTGGGCCCCTCATACAGTGGATGGCAGGTGTTGGACGCGACTCCCCAGGAGAGGAGCCAAGGTAATCGCTCTGCTGGCTGCGGGCTGGGCACTCCCCTGGGTCTGCTCTAAGTCGGGGGCCTTTCTGGGTTATTTACAGTAGTGAACAGCAGCGCAGGAACTGATCCAAAAGTCCTCTCTCTCTCTGGAACACACAGGGGATCAAAACAAAAATATTTTACAAAGAGATTTCCCCTCCTAATTTTGTTTGGCTTGGGCTGCTATTTAAATGAGTGCCTTCCCTGCGCCCACATTGGCTGCTAGACGTGCTGCTGTGGGGGAGGAGGATGTCCTGGCGCATGCCAAGCAACGAACGAAGGAAAGAGTCTTCCTCTGCCAACAATGATTTTCCTGAATGGCCATTAGTCACCTATCCCTCTCAGCGCAGAAACCTCTGGTTCTCCAGTACCCTTGGGATTTAGTCCAAATTTTGCGGCTCAGCTCAAGGCCTTCTGTGATTATGCCCCCACCCCTTCTCTCACCTTTATGGCTATTCCTCTCCCGAGCCAATTCTCCTTCAGGCAGGCCGGCCCATCCCTGTCCCCGGCCTGTGCTCACAGGCTCCTAGTCCCGGCCTCTCTGGGCGTCTCTCCTCTTCCCTCCTCTGACTTCTGGAGCACGTATTGTCTGTTACATTCGTTTTGAGTTGTTTCTTTCAAGCTTTAAAAAAAAAAAAAAAAGATTATAAAAGTAATCTGTGCACATTGTTTTAAAAATATTCAAACAGTTTTAAAAAGACTTACAATGAAAATTAAGTCACACCTGCACCCTCAACCCCTAGTCCATCAACCAGAAGCAAAGCATGTTACTAGATTCTTGAGAGGAGTGTAACTTTTCAGATATTTCCAGGCTACTGTTTTTCAAAGTTGTAGTTTAAATCCATTTGTAGTTATAATAAAATCAAGTTAGCAGGTTATGACCATCATTTAAGAAATGAAACAAGATGGTATGGAAAGGAAAATAAAACTTTTTTAAAAGGAAAAGCAAAGAAAATATCAGGAAGCATTGTACATAGTAAGGGTAAGTATTCTGTGAAACTTTTATTTCAGTATCATATATATGTCCCAAAATCAAAATGTATTTCTTTCTGGGGGTCATGGGGAAAAAGAAGAAGGAAAGTCGGGCATACAAAAGTGTGTGTGTGTGTTTTTTTTAATTTGTTTTATAAACATAAGATGGGATCATACTCTGCTTTCTATTCTGCACTTTGCTTCCCTGCCCCCCCCCACCTCACTAGGCACTTCACCAATGAAACTATATGTACCTGAGCTACGACCCTGAGTACTAGGGAAGGGAGGGTACTGGCCAGAGCGTGGGGAGCTCCGAGGAGCAAGAGATCCCTGCAGGCTGGCCTTTCAGGGAAGTCTTCCAGGAGAGGGAGGGCGATGAGCCCTCTGAGGTAAAACGATTTGGAGAGAAAAGAGGTAGTAGTGAGAGAGCAAGGCAGCATGAGTTTCTTCTTTAGGAAGCAGATGGAGGGCAGTCGGTCAACATGGATCATGCACCCATGGAATGCAGGATTGGGCCAGTTTTATGCAGAGCTGGATTGGCCAGGGTGCTGTTGCAGAACAACAGCAATAACCCAGGAGGGTCACTGCCCAGCGCCAAAGAGTGGGGTGGACAATCGGATTTGCGGTGGGGTAGAGGCAGGGGGTTGGCGTGGTTGTGGAAGGTTCTTGGGAAGAAAAGGCCGGGGGTGAGCTGTTGTGGATGGGTCAAGCCTTGACATGCGTCAACCTCTGCATTCTGTCCACCAGGGGTGTACCAGTGTGGCCCTGCCTCGGTTTTCGGTATCCGAGAGGGTGACATGCACCTGGACTTTGACATGCCCTTCATCTTCGCGGAGGTTAACGCCGACCGCACTACCTGGATTTACGATAGTAAGACTCACAGTGAGAGGAAGAATTCCTCTGATGAGCGCACCGTGGGCAAGAACATCAGCACCAAGGCTGTGGGCAGCAACTCCCGCGTAGACATCACAGAGCAGTACAAGTACCCCGAAGGTAGGAGGGTCAGCTATCCCACCCAGGGCTTGGGGGTGGGAAGGAGCACAGGCCTCCTCCTCCCCCTCCCACATTCTCAGCCAGTTCTGCCTGAATGGTAGGATTATTCCCCGCACGTAACGCCCAACTCCCCAGACTGTTTTTTGTGGGAACAGAATCAATACGGGTAACACCTGCTGGTGGAAGTTTGCTTCAGGGGACAGGTCCCATTGCCAGCTGGATCCCTTTCGAAACTGCACTGTTGGTGTGACAGCACTCTGACTGAGCCTCACAGGGAGAAGCCTTGCCCCATGGAAGGCCCCCCAAGGACTTCCCGGGAGAGGTTTCTAAGCCAGCCGCTCCCATAGCGTCAGAAACTCAGGCAGGAAAGAAAAACAAACAAACAAAAAAACCCAATCCTGTTGCCGTCAAGGTGTTTCCTACTCATGGCGACCCCATGTGTTACAGAATAGAACTGCTCCATAGGGTTTTCTTGGTTGTAATCTTTACAGACTCTTCCGTGGCACCACTGGGTTTGAACTACCTATCTTTAGGTCAGTAGTTGAGCGCAAACCATTTGCACTGCACAGGGATCTCGGGCAAGAAACACCATCTGAAAAAAGAAATGGGCAAAGAAACTCAAAGACTTGGCCTATGCTGCGCCTCAGAGGCATCCCCAGGAGCCAGATGAGGTGTGACTACATCACAAGGTGGTTGCCCGATTCCCTGGAGCCTTCAGCATCACCTGAGTGCTGGTCTCATTCAAGGAGCCCCCTGGAAGGCTGGTGCCCACCGGCTGCCCTTACCCAAATGAAATTTGCTGTGCCATTTCAGAAGTGGACATCAGAGCCAGCACATATCTCTTTGAGGATTCTCAGTGGTGACAAAAGTTCTGCATTTTAGGGCAAAGTTTATTTTTAGAAATAGCCAGTAGTAACTTACAGCTCTCTCTAGTGGACTGCAGCCATTCCGTAGTCAGGCCATCTCACTTTGTCTAAAATGCTGTGAAATAGTTCTGTTGATCCTCAGTGTCGGCTCTGAGGGTTAGGAAAAGCACTCCCGTTAAGGTGCCCACAGTAAGCACTAAGGCACTGCTGGCTTCACGGCCTCGCCTCGGCTGTATTTTATCGAAGAGGAAAACTGAGCACAGGAGATGGATCCGGCCCCCAGTCCAGGTGGGTGGCCCCTCTGGGTCATGGGTGGCATTTTCGTGGACATTTCGAGGCGTGATTCTGGGTAATGAGATTGGTGGCCTCAATCTGGCCCCCACTCTGGCTCTGCAGGCCAACCCCAGGGTTTGATGTCAGACAGACCTTCTCTCAGTCAATAAACATGTACTGAGTGCATGGCTCTGTGCTGGGCCTGGGGGCTGCAGCGGGGAGCACCGCTAACAGGACCTCTGCCCTTGGGGAACTCATCGTCCAGGGGAGCCAGGGAGGCAGATGTAGGACAAGTATTTTCAACAAGTGTGATGATGTAGAAACAAGCGTAGGGCTCCAGGGAACGAATAATCTGGGGCAAGGGGTGAACTCGTCCAACCACTTACAACTGGGTGACCTCAAGCAGGTTTCTTATTGTCTCTGATCTCTGCTTTCCTCACCTGTAAAATGAGACTAGCAATACCTGTCTGGAGTCGAATTTAAATGAAATTAATGCACCCAGAGATACCTTGGAAGACAGGTCTAGTGATCTACCTCTGAAAAACAGCCATGGAAAGCCCTATGGAGGGCAGGTCTACTCTGACACACATGGTGTCATCATGAGTTGGAATCAACTCAATGACACCAGGTCTGGTTAATGTACACAAAGTACCAAGTACAGCGCCTAGCACATAGTAAGGACTTAATAAATAGCAGTGGTAACTTTTATCAGTTTGAGCATCTACAGCCTCATTGGAATAATGGGCTCCCAAGGTGACTGTTTTGAAGCATACTGCTTACATGCTATGCCTTGATCCTTCCTCCTGAGGGCTCGGACTGTCCCAGCCAAGCCCTCTGAGCAATAGCGGCCATAGCCAGGTTGGGGAATCCTGCAGGACTCCTGACACTGCTTCAGCCCCTGCGGGACATCAGGACTGATCACCCTGCCTGCTGTTGCCCAGCTCTCCTTACCCAATGATACCAGCTTGTCTCTGAGGGCCTGAGGGAGGAAAAGCTCATAAAACAGTTGCTCAGCATTTACAAAATAGCAACACCAGAGACAGAAAACCGTAGGAGGAAGCGTAGTGTTGAGTAAGCCCAGCAGGTGACCTATACAGCTATCTAGGCTCTGAGCCTCATTGTGCAAACACACCCTCTTCAAGGTCCTGGGCACGAAAGGCTCAGATCCTGCACAGCCGTCGGCTCTGGGTGTGGACTTAATCTCAACTGGGAATGGGAAGGCATCAGAAAGAACCCAGCCCATCGGGAGCTATCAGCTCGGGTAATCTGCCTGCCTCCTTTTCAGTAGGGTGTTGTGGGAGGAGCCTTAGACCTGGAGTCCAGACACCTAAGGACTGGCCCCTGTCTGCCTCTAATCCCCAGAGTGGCCTGGACAAGTCGTTTCTCCTCTTAGGGACTTAACTCTATCATGATGGACTCGGATGAGTTGACATCCAAGGTCTCTGCCGGTGTTACATGTAACTTATGGGAAAAAATCCAAAAACTCATTGCCGTCGAGTCAATTCCGACTCATAGCAACCCTGAGCTTATGGGAAAGGACTAGCTAAGTTGCAAAGTGCTTTGTAATAAGTCAGCTGGTGCCTTTTTATAAGCTAGGGGAAAGGTAGGGGGCATGAGTGTGGCCTGTAGATATAAAATGGTCATTCTCCTTTGTGTGCCTCTGCCCTTGTTCCTGGAAAGTCAGCCCTTTTTCCTTTGTCTTGGGTCTGACTTCAGGTCAAGGCAGGGACCCTGTGTGAACTGCTGACTCAGCCCTAGCTGATGCTTGGATTCAGTTACTCAGCTCTTGGTGCCACAGAAGCAGTGAGCTCAAGGGCACAGCCTGGGCACTTTCCGTGGGCTGTTCATGCCACCGCATTCACCAGAACCCATCAGCTCAGTCAGAGTCAGAAGACCTGTTCTTTAAGTCAGCACTTGTGTGAAACCTGAAATTTCTCAATAATTTACACTAATCATAACTTGGGAACCATACCATCCCTGGGAAGTTCTCGTCGACTGACACATGCAGAAGGGCCACTTTTAACTCTCACAGCGGTTTTAGGAACAAGTCAAAATCACACGGTCAAGCAGTGTTAAAGGTTTTTTAAAAAATGGAATCAGTTCAAAAATTGGAACCTTGTTTTTTGTCCAGGAACCCATTCTAACCTTTTCCAGCTCTAATTTTATTTAAAAACTATGTTTGTTCAAGTCTCACAAATGCCCTTTTGCCAAAGAAACAAAATCTAACCTAATTAACATAATAAGCAAATTATTAGGTCCCACGTAGTAATTTTATGCAGGTCCTGACCAAGCTTTCTCTCCAGTTTCTTGGAAATCTAGAGCTGATTGGAAGACACCCAGATCAGCTGGTTAAAGAGGACACCATGCCTCCTCAGGAGGTCAGACACTGGCTTCGAGCGGCATCGTTGGTGCAGCAATAGAACTAGTACCAGCCCTGGCCACCTTTCAGGGCAGGGCTCTGTCCTCTATCCAGGTGCCACCACATTGTCCCTGAGATGCTCCTCTCCTTTCCCTCCACACAGGTTCCGCCCGGGAAAGAGAAGTGTTCCACAAGGCTCTGGGGAAACTTAGACCCAACCTATTGTTCACAGCAACATATGCCAGGAGCTTGGAAGAAGGGCATTGGGAGCCTACCATCTCTGGGAGGTTCAAGGTTGCTGGTATTCTGAAAGTGGGCCAGGAAGTCAACCTGGCCCTGGTATTCAAAAACCTGACAAGTGATATGAAGAAAGTGACAGTGAACATGACAGCCTGGACCATTGTCTACAATGGCACGCTAGTACATGAGGTGTGGAAGGACTCCGTCACCATATCCCTGGACCCCAAAGAAGGTAACTCACCCTTAGTTTGTTGGGGCATCATGCTCTCCAAAAATACAAGAATACTTGCTATTCTCTTGGGGTGAAGCATTCCTACTGAGTTCCAGGCGAGTCAGCAGTGACCTCTGTGATTAAGACTTGGGTTTTGATGCTTTGGAAGGTACTGTCACCATGAACAGCACAACTCAGGGTGGTGCCAACCACACCCTGGGAGAGGAAGGAGAGAGACTTTGGCAGGTAATGGCCACAGCAGCAGTATACCTTACAGGTATACACCACTTCACACTTTGCGATGTGCTCCTTAGATGCTATCTTATTTGACCTCCTAAAAAAGTCAGATTTCAGTATCCCCATCTTACCCCTTGCTGTCAAGTCGATTCCTACTCATGGCGACCCTATGGATTATAGAGTAGAACTGCTCCATAGGGTTTTCTTTACGGAAGCAGTTCACCAGGCCTTTCTTCTGCAGAGCTGCTGGGTAGGTTTGAACCGCCAACCTTTAGGTTAGCAGCTGATCACAAACCCCTGTCTTATAGAGGCAGAAACTGAGGCTTAGAGAGATGAAGTGACTTGCTTAAGAGGTTGTCACAGATAGTAAGTGGTGATGCTGGGGTCTTTGGCCCAGGTGTCCCAGTGCCAGTGCCACCCCCTTTTTTGATGTTGCATTGCTGCCATCCTTCTTACAGACTACCTACCACCTGCCACCTCACTCCCTGCAACCAACCTCTTTCAGGTCTGACACTGGAAGGGTTGCAATATCCCACAGGCCCTTGAACCTGTGCCCCCCTTTCCCCCAAAGCTGCCAGTGGGTGGGTGGAGCTTCTTGACTCCTGACGATGGTGACGGGCTTTCTTGGAGGTCGAAGAATTTGGGAGGAACAGTGACTTCTTGCCCCTGGGTAGCACAGATGGGATGGGAACAAGGTGGAGCAAAGAAAACTGTAGAAAGATTAGAATGCAGGTGTGCCACATTGGCAAAATCCTTCAAGCTGTTATGAAAAGTTTGGACTTAAAAAGCAGATTAACCAGGGTAGGGTAGTTACTTGCTTCACATAACAAACGAATAAAAACTGTTTAATTATACAGCCCATCTTGAAAGGATTCTGCCAAGAAACCGAGACATGTTACACCTGTCAGAGGCAGCATCCCCCAGCAATCTGTCTTCTGGCAGGATTTCAGTAGAAATCTTGATACCAAAAGTGACTACCTGGCTGTTATTTACCTCTAAAGCCCAAAGGGAAAGCTATTTTTGTAGGCCAGGAATGATTCCTGCGAAGACAATGGTCAAGAAAGCAGGCCTATGTGCAAGAAGCAGCAGGGTGAATGGGGAGGGGCCAGGAGGCAAGTAAGGCCACTCTGGAGTACCGAGGTGTGACCCTGGCTCGGTTCCCTTCTCTTTCGGAGCCTGTGTCCACTGCCCGAGAGGGTGGGACCAGCTGACCTAAGACCTGTCGTCCACATTTGGGCAGTTTGACAAATTCCCCTAGTGGGAAAAGCAGGGGCCGCTTCCTTCTCACAGTCTTACTAAAAGAGCATATGGGTGCCTCCTGAAGATCACGACAGCAGGAGGAAGAGGAGGCAGTAACACAGATCAGAAAAACTCATTAACGTGCAACACGATCATCAACGTGGATCTGAGCACCTCAGACTATTTAAGGAGGGAGAGGCCCCCGGGGCCTGCAGTGTCAGAAGAGGGGCCCTTGAAGCTTGGGAATGGGCCAGGTAAATGGAGAGAAGCCGAGAAGGGCATTTCCATCCAAAAGAGCCACGTGAGTAAACATGCCTGTTTTGTCTAAGAAATGCTGAGAAAGGCTGAGGCTTCTCCCCAGGGAGAGGTGAGCTGGGCTCAGGTGATGCAGGGCCAGATGCAGGGGTCTGAATCTTATTCCAAAGGCGACAAGGAGCCATGGAAGATTTTTTGAGCAGTGACATGATTTTGGAAAAAAAAAAAAAAAAGTCTTATGAAGCCGTGTTTGACTGGTGTGTGGACCATTTGGAAGTAGGAGAACCCAGAGGTAGGGAGGTGGTTTGGATGCTGTTGCAATAGAATTAGAGGTTATTAGATGACCTGGGAGGATCCTAAGCATTTAGTCAGTACCCTGGCTTCCCGTCGTCGTTATTACTGTTGTTGTCATCATTATTATTACTATCATTAGGCAACCAGTCAACATTCATATTCTTCCCCTGCCCCTCAGAAGGAAACTTGCCGTCTGACCTAGGAGGAGGAAGATGCAGCAGTATCTTCCACCCCTGCAGACCCATCCTCCTGGGAATTTGCCCATTCAAACAGAGTCCTGGTCTCTCCCGGCCCGGCCTGGAGACCGCACAGGACAGAGGGCTGTTCCCATAGAGCCTGGTCCAGGAAGGGCTCAGCCAAGCCCTGCCTTACAGAGACTCCTGGCCAGCTCCCACTGCCTGGCTCCCATCAGCCTCTGCAGAAGGTTTCAGGACCAGCACACCCACCTCACGCCTCTCCCTTCACTTCTCCTTCCAGAAACGCAGCACCCGGTGAAGATCTCATATGCTCAGTACGAGAAGCACTTGAAAGCTGACAACATGATCCGCGTCACGGCCGTGTGCAAGGTCCTCAATGAGGGCGAGGTGGTGGTGGAGCGGGATGTTATCCTGGACAACCCCTCCCTGACCCTGGAGGTGAGGCCCTGCAGTGGGGTAGGGGCGTTGAAGGGGTGCCTCCCCACCAGTCCATCTGTGAGCCCCACCAGCCCTCTGTGAGTCACGGCCCCCATACTGGGAGAGGCAGACCCAGGTGCAACTCAAGTCCAGCCTCTGCCAACTGGACCAGCCAAGGGCTCCCGCCCTGGTCAGTGTCCTCAGCCCTGGCTGGTGAGATGAACTGGCAGCTTCTTCTAGACACACTGGGAGACCACCCAAGGGGGGCTGGAGGGTCCTTCTCCAGCACATTCCCACCTCTGCCAGGGACTAAGCACCTGCTGTGTCTGGCCCTGTGCCAGGCTTTGGAGTCACAGAGAGGCACAAGTGTGGGTCCTGCCCTCTGGAGCTAATGCTTCCTCCCGTGGCTCCCAGCCTAGACCCTTAGACACACTTATGTCACAGATCAGGAATGGGTTTGTGACTCATAAGCACCTTTCCACTCTCTTGACCCCGAAGTGACAGATCCTAGACTCTTAGGAGCCTCGTCTCACACTCCCTTGCCCTGCCATTTCACATATGAGTAAATTGAGGCCTCGAGAGGAGAAGGGACAAGCCAGTTACTGCCAGGGCTAGGGCTAGATCTCATGCTGGGAATCCCAGTCCAGTGCTCTTTCCAAGGCATCCTGCGTGTCAGAAGTCAGCAGAAGCATGCTTAGAATGCATCACAGCCCTGGGTGAAAGTGAGGACCCCGTCTCACTCTGCTTTCTCAGAGCTTGCTTTTGTCTGCAGGCCCAGTGCAGGTGGAGGACACCAGAGTGAGGCAGCATAACTCTGAGGAGCCAGGGGCTTGGCAGGGACAGGCAGGAGGACAGGATCTTCCTTTGGGGTCCCACAGAGAACCTCGTGGGCCACACTCCTCCTCATCTGCTCTATCTGCCATCTGCCCTGGCTGTGTAGACAGCCACTGCATTCTCCTGTCCGATCCTGCTGCCGCCAGCTTCCCAAGCCCAGATTCTGAGAGGAGCCAGATAATTGTGGCTGCCCTGGCCCCACCCGTCTCTAAGTTGCAGGGGTTCCTGACCTCAGACAGGGGCACAGGAACCAAAGAGTCCCACCAGGCACACAGCCCCAGGGTGCCTCCTCTGGCAGGGCTCCTGGGGTCTCCCCCGCAGCTAGCCCAGAATGGGGAACAGCCGCACCTAAGAACAAGGGAGCCAGTGATTGGACAGCCATTTGGGGGGAAGCAAGGAAGACAGTAGTTCAGACCTGGGGCAATGCAGCCAAATGGACCTGTCTGGGATCACGGCCCCATCCTTTACCAGCAGTGATACTGGCTAAGTCCCAGAGTTGCTCCAACTTTGTCATAGGGATAATGAAACCCTCCCCTGCTAGGTAATTTAACTGACAGGCTGTAAAGTGCTGACACAGGACTAGGCAGACAGCACAATAGATCTTTTGAAGAGGAGGACAATTATGCTCAAGATTTATTATGGGAGTCTTAGAGGGGTTTACAACATCCACTCAGAGGGGGTAGCACTCCTTCCCTCCATCCCCCAGCCCCCCCCCCACTTTTTTTTTTGCATTACCACCAGCAGTGCATAAGAGTTCCAATCTCCCTGCAGTCTCTCCAAAATCCCCCATTTTCCCCCACTTTTTTTTTTTTTTTTGGAAGAGCTGCTTTTTACAAGCTACACTTGGGAATTCACTGAACAAAAATATTTTGGAGGCCCTTGCTGTAAGATACCCTCCCTCTGCTAAAATTGAGAAGGACAACATTGAAAGCATGCATAGCCCAGACTAGACAAGGAAAAGGAGAGCTTGTCTCTTTCTGGGATTTGGGAGAGAGAGCGATTCAGGAAAGATCTAGCAGAGGAGGGACATCTGAGAAAGGCTTTGTAGGATGAATAGGAGTTCGTAATAGGACTGCTTATATCTAGGCAAGAACTTGTACATGTGGTGCTTTCAAAGCAGTTACCTTGGGAGGCACTAAACAAAGGTTAATTTTCACAAAAGCTTTCCTCTTTGGGAGCTACACACAGGGCCTGTTTAGAAACCACACATGAATCAGGCTCCTGACACTGCAGTGACACCAGTGTTGTTCTGTCTCCTCACCTCCCTTATCTACTAATCTCAGCTTGCAAAGGGGAAAGATGTGCCACACTCTAGCATGTTGCAACCAGAGGAGTCTTTTAAAAAAAAAAAAAAAAACCTGGTCCTGTCACTTGCTATTTAAAACCCATCCATGATTTTCCATGGCTCTCGTCTGTGGTTCTCAGGGGCTCTCATCTGTGGTTCTTGTCTCTTCTGCTCAGGACTTCACATGCCTCACTTTTCAGTTTCTTAAAGTTGCTGTCAGAGAGTCTGCGTACACTGTTCCCTCTGCCTGGAGCTGTCTTCCCATTTCCCACCTAGATAACGTTTCCTACTCACCCTTTTTTTCAAACGTCATTTCCTCAGGGACAAATTTCCTGACCCCCAAATTAGGTCCCCAGTTATACACCCTCTGAGCCTCCTGGCCTCCTCCTTCACAGCATCTCTCTAAGTTGAAATTACAGCTTTATTTGTGCAGTTACTTGATTGAAGCCCTCCCACGCTAGACTGTAAGCTCTGCGAGGGCAGGGGCCACCCTGTTCTGGGCTCATCACTGCCCTCCGGCTCCATGTCTGGAGTTCAGTAGATGCTCATTCAATATTGTAAAATAAAACAGCCTCTCCATGGGGCCGGACTGGGAGAGAGCCACCTGTCTCTATACTTGGATTCTTCCAGCCCAGGAGAGAGACGTTTCCATTGTTAACCCCTGATCGTCCCTGTTTATGAAAGCCTCTCCCACTTCACAAGACATTTCTGAGAAACGCGCTGCATCTCTGCAGACACAATGGACTGCCGAGCACCAACTCCAATTCCTGAGGCTAGGAAATGATGCCAGGTAGCTACTGGTATTCCTTACTAAAGCATTCTGCATTAAAGTCGCCAGTGTTTAAATGAAATTAAGGTCCCCCCCAACATTATATACCCTTATCCAGTACCCTCAAACCTTCTTATAGCTTTACTTTTTTTATTCAACTTTTTGCTCTGTATCATTTGGATTTCCATATCAAGTCTACTTTATCCTTAAACGTACCATAATATCTTTAAAAAGGAAATCAGAATACATAAAGGCTAGACATGTGCCATCAAGAGCTTTCTCATTTAATCTTTTCAAAAGACACCTGATTTTTCTTCTTTCAGGCATCTTTGTGTGAACTTCCTCCAAACCCATTCTCTCTTCTTTAAGCCTTCAGAGAAGCAAGACATCTTTGTCTTGAGTGAATGAATCAATGCATAGCTCTCTCAGAGCAGGGGACATGTCGCTAAACTCTGACGGTGAGCTGCATGGAAAGATAACAATTTAGGTAAAGTCATGTGATATCAGCACTGACTGGCAATTAGCACCGAGGATGCTGAATGTGGAATCAGACCAAAAAATCTAAACACTGTTCCAGAGGACAGTGTCCTTCAAATTGACCCATGAACCACTGGTGTTCAGACACAGTTTTCAGGCGGCCCTTAGCTCCTTTGGATGCATTTACAGATTTGGGTCAATAGGACAGGGTGATAAACATCAATAAAAAAAAAACAACCTCATGGAAATCTCAAAAGAAAAAAAAATTGGCAGAGTTTATGTAGCTTTGTTATATCCCAATAACAAAACTATGCTTCACTTTGTGGACTGATTATGTCATACACTTAAGTGAGTTCCAAGTTAGCAGTTAATAGTATAAATTATCATCTCTAAAATGTTTTAATTATTCACAAATCATTGGTAGGCATTGCAGGGCCTAGTGAAAAAAGCAAAGCCTTTGGAACCAGCTGGGCCTTGCTATTGACTAGTGTATGAACTTGGCCAAGTTACCAAATCAGTCTGAACGGCAGGCGTATCACTGTGAAATGGCTGAAGATTAGTGATAAGAAAAATAAAAACCAAAGTAACCCAAAACAGCCACCTCCCATGATACTCAAAAGAAGAACTGCATCAGCCATGCAGTTTTAATTTCTATTTTCAAAACCTTCTCTTCTCATCCTTGATCTCATTGGGTCACTTCTAGCCCAGAGAGGAAGGCAGGGTGGGGATGATTATCCCTATTTACCAGTTGAGAAAGTTGAGGCCCAGAGAGATGACGTGTCTGCCCGGAATCACAACCAGTCCTTGGCAGAAGCACAACAGCTTCTGTCTTTTGGAGTTGTTCAGGGTGCTTTTATGACCCAAAACCCAGGCTTCACCTTCTCTGACCCCTGATCAAGGCCAGTGGAGCCCTGCTCAGACCACACATGGCACACTGGACACCTCAGGGCTCCAGTTTAGGAGGACACTGACAGGCTGGGGTGTGATAAGAGAGAGTGGCCTGATTGAGGGGGGACCCAGCCCCATGTCCTGTGCAGAAGAGTGAAGGGTGCCAAGGCTGCTAAGCCAGGGTCTGAGCAGGTTCAAGGGCCACCTTCAATACCTGTAGGGCCTCCCAGGGAGGGTGATTCGAGGCTTTAGGAAGAAACAGGACTAATGAGTTGGAGGCTCAAGGAAAGTAAGAGTAAGTAAATTCAGTATGAGAAATGCCCTAACACTCAGTAGCTCACAGCAGGGTCAGGCTGTCCTTGGAAGCAGGGGTTCCCTTCAGCCCTGCCCCGGCAGCTCTTACCAAGCGGCCAGCAGGGGTGAGCGGCCAGCGTCCTGACTCGCAGCCCCTCTTCTCCACAGGTGCTGGACAAGGTACAGGTGCAGAAGCCTGTGATCGTGCAGATGCTCTTCTCCAACCCTCTGGATGAGCCCGTGAAGAACGGCGTGCTGATGGTGGAAGGAAGCAGCCTGCTGCGGGGCAACCTCAGGATAGAGTGAGTCCAGGCCTGAGCCTCCAGGAGGGGACAGGAGGCGGGCAGAGGGGCCTGCAGGAGCCCGCAGGATGGGCAGACTGAGCCGCCTCTAGTCTCAGGTTCTTCACTCTCCTGGGGCCTTGGACCTCGAGCATCCAGTGGAAACAGCAGATGCACATCAGCACACATTTGCCTGTGGTTCAGGGTTCATAAACTTGAACTCGTGGAAGGCCAGGTCACCAGAGCTAGGAGCTGGTCCTCAAGGCTTACTATATTTGGGGAATCATGGGGCCCCACTTCCCCCTGCTGAGGGGTCACAGGGCTGGAAGGGTGCAATGACCCAGGAAGGCAGCTGAAAGGAGAAAGAGCAATGACCTTGTCTAGGAGCCACCAGAGTAGGACTTGAGGCCCTAGAAGGCCTGTCCAGCCCGAGGTCTGTGTTGTTGTTGTTATTGGCTGTTGTCAAGTCAGCCTCCAACTCACGGTGACCTCATACACAATGAAATGCTGTCCAGCCCTTTGCCGTCCCCATGATGGGTTGCAGATCCATAGGATTTTCAGTGGCTGATTTTCAGAAGTAGATAGCCAGGCCTTTCTTCCTAGTCTGAGGTCTGAGTATCTACCACAAACACTGACTTGTCTCCTTCCCCCCAGCGTGCCAACACTGCACCCCAAGGAGCAGTCCCAGGTGCGTTTTGAGATCCTGCCCACCCAGAGTGGCACCAAGCAGCTGCTCGCCAACTTCTCCTGCAGTAAGTTCCCTGCGATCAAGGCCATGCTGTCCATCGATGTGGATGAGTGAAGGGACGGCAGCCCCCATACAAACTTGGGTAACACGGAATGGGGGGCTCACCTGTGGAGTGAGTCTCCTGCCCATGCTGTCCAGCCTGAGAAGCCCACTCCATCCCCCAAGGCTGCCTGGACTCGGACCTCCTGTCTCTAGCCCACACCACCCTCCTCCCACATGCCCCACAGGGCAGGGTCCACTTGGCACATTACTCGGTCACTTTTGCACGTTTCCAGACACTTCTCCCATGGCTGCCTGCTCTGTGAGCCCCAAGCCCGGCTCCTCCTTCATGCCCATCGATGCTGCAGGATGGAGTGGCCCTGACCCAGGGCACTCTGAGTAGATATGGAAGAAGATAGTCTGGGCTATTTGCTGATCCCCTCCCTCTGGCCACTGTGGATGGGAGGGCATAGCCAGTCATCACCATGGCATTTACATCCTTATACTCAAATAAACGTTAAAGAGTGAGCGATCACACACACAACCACTCCGATTCTTGTTTTACCCAAGGTGGTAGAAAGGGAGAGAGGCTGGGCCGTGTCGTTCTGGAGGAGGGATGCATGTGGGAGGCCTGTACTCTGTGTTCCAATAACCAAAGGGAATGGGCTTGTTCTGTGTGGCCCCAGGTGGAAAAATGAGACAGACTGCAAGTCAATTTAGGAAAACTTTCTAATGTGATACCCAATAACAGAGTAGGCTGCTTTGGGTGGGCACAAATGGTTAACATGCTTGACTGCTAACCAAAGGATTGGAAGTTTGCGTCCACCCAGAAGCACCTCAGAAGAAACGCCTGGTGATCTACTTCTGAAAAATCAGCCACTGAAAACCCTATGGAGCACAGTTCTACTCGTGACACACATGGGGTCACCATGAGCCAGGGTCAACTCCACAGCAACTGGTTTTGCCTCAGGAGGGCGGTCCTTGGCACAGTAGGGCCCATGCACTGTCTTTTAAGATCTTTCCTGAGGTGGCAGAGTGAAAAGGGGTTCCAGAGTCCCTGATGGACCCCTTTCTAGAGCAATCTGTGCTGTGGTAACCCAGCCTCACATGCAGGGTCTCCCCCTCCTTGTGCTGCCTCCACCTCTGGCAGCCCAGCAGGGACTGTGCCCAGCCCACCCCCAGCACTGCTGAGTCAACCCGAGCCTCCTCTGCTCCAAACATGCTCTATTGGGTCCTCATTCTTGGCCCTTTAACATAATCCCCAGCTGATCCCATAGATTTCCTGTCATTGCACTGACTAATCCCATTTGGCAATTAGAGCTTACTGTCTCATGAAAACCTTAACCTCACATCCAGCTCGAAGCATCTCCCCTCTGCTCAGCTCAGGCCTGACCCAGGCTTTCAAAAGGAGCACATCCCATTCCTTGTCTTCCTTTCCCTCCCCCGCTCCTGTGGCTTTACCCTTCAGAGTTGGAGAGGGAGAGGGGATTAGAAGGAAAGCGCAAGGGCTTCATCTCCGGGTGCTGATATAACCTGGCTTCTGACATCCTCTGTGTGGCTGGTGTTCCAGTGCAGGCTTTCTGCACTGCATGGTCCCTGACGTGGCAACATGCCCCTCAGCTACTGCCCCACTACCACAAGTTCCCTGCGATCAAGGCTATGCTGTCCATCGACATGGCTGAGTAAAGGCCACCATACAAACTTGGGTGACACGGAGCAGGGAGGGCTTGCTTCCTAGTAAGCCCCCCAGTGGGGTAGTATGTCCTACTACCTCTAGCTTCCCTGGAAGGAGGGGTGCTTGAATGAAGGCTGTAGCCCAGTTCCCTCTGTTGGGGTCCATGAGCCTGTGAAGCTCACATCCCCTTGTTCCACCAAAAGGAGGGTGGGCAGTCTGCCCCCTGCTGTCCCCTTCTTCCTCTGTCTTCTCAAGCTGCTCCATCCCTGGCCTCCAACCTCCAGACCTCCCTGCAGTAGCCAGCACCGGAATCTGTGTCGACGTATACCCCAATGTCAAGCTCTCCCGACGACTATCACCAGGCCCCAACTCTGGTGGCTGAACACACTGGCCCTCCAAGTAACAGCGGCACAGCAGGCCTCCAGCTGCCAAGTGGGAGGCTTGTCTCTCGTTCTTGCAAACTTTGCGACTCTCTCCAAGAAGAGTCTTGGCCTGCCCCCTTGACTTAGCTTGGGGTTAGGGGTTCCATTCCTCCTGAGAGACCCTTCCCCAGTCTCTAATGAGGAGAACCAAAAATCAAACCAGTGGCCATCAAGTCCCACTCCAACTCATGGTGACCCCATGTCTGTCAGAGTAGAACTGTGCTGCATAGGGTTTATCAATGGCTGTGATATTTTGGAAGTAGATCACCAGGCCTTTCTTCCAAGGTGCTTACTGGGTGGACTCAAACTTACAACCCTTTGGTTAATAGCCAAATGCTCAACTGCCCCACAAGTGCTCCTCAAATGAGGAGGGTCAAGGTGAAATAGACAGGCTTCTGCTCTGGTTTCCAATAGAAAGCAGAAATCCAGACCTTCATTCCCTCAGGCACCAGCCTCATCAGCAAGCATTTCCTCGTACCTTCTTTGTGCGAGGCTCTGTGCTGGGCACCAGGTCCAGAGAAATTAAAAACCAACAACACAGTCCCTTCGAGTTTCTACCTTGAGGGAGACTCCCAAGGTGTGACATTAAAAATCTCTGGAGAATTCCTAACCAACCCTAAGGACACATGTTTTATAAGAGCTGTGTTCACCCCACTTGGGTTGCAAATAATTTTAACAATAAAACAAATAGCAGGCAGAGAGCGTGACACTGTGTTTATTTCTGGTAGAAATAAAGTTAGAGGTTGTAATATAGAGGGAGGTACAAATAGGTCTTCTAGCAGGCGGCTCTCCCATACTGGTTAGGGTATATGCTCAGCTACCACAGCAGAGAGACCCAAAACACCAGAGTCTCAAACAAGATAGACATTTACTTCTGTCTTGTGTAAGAGCCCAGATGGGCAGTCCAGGGACCCAAGCCCGTTTTATCCATTACTCTGCCTTGCTCAACATTTGGCTTCCACCAAATGGTGTTCCAACTCAAGGCATAATGTCCACAGTGCATCCAATAGGAAGGAAGAAAGGGGAATAGATGGGCACCCTCTTTCCCATTAGAGCAATAATCTGAAAGTTGAAATTTGAAAATTGCACGTATCTCTTCTGCCCATATCTCAATGCCTAGAACTTAGTGACATGGCAATAGCTAGCTGCAAGGGAGGCTGAGAAATATAGTCACTAGCTGGGTGGTCATTTACCTAGGTAACATTTAGAGTTTCGATTACTACAGAGAGAAGTGGAATAGTTATTGGGGCAACCAGCAGTCTCTGTCACCTTTACCACCAAGACAAGGGCAATGCTCCCTGCCATGGGGCCATCAGAGGAGCTGTAGAGAACCCCTGAGCCAAGAGAAGCAAAGGTAAAGTTGTGTCTAGTTATTCTGCTCAGATTTACCCATCAGGTAAGACCCACCACCTGCCCAGAAGGAGAGAAAGACTGAAAATGAGCCTGAGGGGGAATTGCTCTTTGTGGAAGCCAAGGCTGGAAAAGGCCTTTTCCCAGAACAGATCACTGCATCCTTAATCCTCATTTTGCTCCTTCCAAACCTGGGCCACCCCGAGGATGGCCTCTGGGCCTCTGGAGCCTCGGGCATGCTCTTTTGAAAATATCGTCACTGGGCAGATCTCTGTCCTTTGAAGCTAGACTTAGTGTTTGGAATCAGGCAGAAGTTTCCTGGATCTCAGCCTAGTGGGGGATCAAAATGAGAATCGGTTGAGGCAAAATATGAGATGTGCCGGTTGGATCCTTGGGAAGCATATGCCAAGATGGGGTTAGAAGTGTAAGAGATTTATTGGGAGTGATGCCTGTGGGGGAGAAAAAGGAGTAGGAGCATGGGTAGGGGGTAAGCCTTCTGCCCATGATGCAGCCTGACATCTGAGAAAGGAGAGGTGGAGGAAGAAGGGTTGGGTGGGAAGAGCCACGGTGCAGCTCTGAGAAAACCTCAGCTGGCCCAAAGGGCGCTCAAGTGCACAGATTTACCACAGAGAAGTCCCACAGGGGGCAGAAATGGCCATGCTCAGTCATAGGTAGGATTCCCCAAAAGATCATGGCCTTGGCTCGAAGCTGAGCTAGGTTCTGGGGGCACTGGAGCTGCAAGCTGTCAGTGACTGCACTCCAACAGCTGACAGGCAAGTTCTTTATGGTAAGGGGAGCTGAGCAGCGCACCTCCATGCTGACACATTGACTCAAGGCAGTTCTGACCTCTGGCTGGTCTCTGAACCCCTTGAGGGCAGGGGTCAGGCCCAGTTCATCTCTGTAGCCTTTACCCAGGTGAAGGGCTCATACTAGGTGCACCTGGAAGGTCTGATGCGTGAATGAGTGTGTTTTCAAGGGTGCTTGTACTCTCTGACTCCTCAGAAATAAAATTGTGATTCATGTGAACCCTTCTATTATTTGTTTTAATTGTCAATATTGAGTCCCAACCCTTATACATTTGAAGAGATAATGCAATTTAAAGTACAATCAATCACTGCCTCTTGAGAATGCTTACTATGTGCCTGACTAAGCACTTTGTATGCAGTATCTCATTTAATCTTCCCAACAAACCCATGAGATAGGTACCATTATGGATTGAATTTTGTCCCCCCAAAATATATGTTGTAAATCCTAACCCCTGTAGTGGTCATAATCCCATTTGGGAATGGGTTTTCTTTGTTATGTTAATGAGATAGTATTAGTGTGTAGGGTATGTCTTAAGCCAATCTTTTTTGAGATATAAAAGAGATTAAATAAGCAAGCAGAGATGGGGGAAGATAGATGCCATCCCACATGATCGCCAAGGAATAGACGCTGAAAAAGACAAGGACCTTCCCCCGGAGTCAAAAGAGAGAGAAAACCTTCCCTAAGAGCTGGCGCCCTGAATTTGTCCTTCTAGCAGCCTAAGCTGTGAGGAAATGCATTTATGTTTGTTAAAGCCACCCACTTGCGGTATTTCTGTTATAGCCATTAAGACACAAATAACTAAGACAGGTACTAATATCCCCCATGTTACCTTTGAGGAAGCTAATGCTCAAAGATGTTAAGTCATTTGTGCAAGGTCACAGAGCCATGAAATAGAGAAAGTGGGGTTCAAATCCTCTGTCTACCTTCAGAGCCAATGCCATTATGCTAAGGTGTTATATTTCTTCCTTGCTAATTAAACCCTGGTTTCATCTAGGGTGCAACACCAATGTGACCAACCTCAGAAGATGAATCATGATTGCTCTAAACCCATCATGTCAATCCTATTCCCTTTTACCAATGATTACTTTGGAGGTGGACATCTGTCCAGTTCTGGCCAATGGGATGTAAGGGAAGTTTGCTGACAGGCTTTTGGGAAAGACTTTTCCTTCCTTACAAAGAAATTTGGTGAAGAGGACCCCTGCCCCTTTGAATGGGGTCCTGTAAGGATGATGTCTGGAGCTGAGGCAGACATCCTGTGAGCATGAGGAGAAAACAGATGCCCCAGACCTCCGACATTGATGAGACATTATGAATAACCAACCCTAAACTGCCCTAGCACAGGACTGAGTAACATGTTGTACATGAGATCACTATGAGATGGAGCTGACTTGACAGCAACTAACAACAAAACTGCCTATCTCCAGACTATTAAGTGAGATAATACATGTTCTTATTGTTTAAAACACTTTTAGTCGTGTATATTGTACTTAAAGGCTTCCTAACTGATTCACCTATACCGAAGACACTCATTATTGCGTGTCTTCCACCTGTCGGGCATTCTCTGACATGCTGTTCCATCTGTCTCGATTCAAAGCCTGGCTCCATCACTTCATAGCTGTGTGAGCTTCGTGAAGCTACTTAACCTCTCTTTCCCTAGTTTTTCTGTTTTAGAAGATGATGACAATAATAGAACCTACCTCGTGAGGGTAATGTGCATTGTGTGTATTACCTATTGCTGTTGAGTTGATTCTGACTCATGGCGACCTCATGTGTTGCAGAGTAAAATTGTGCTCCATAGGGTTTTGAAAGCTGTGACCGTAATCAGTCACGGCTCACAGTTTGGGGATAACAGTGGGGCTGTAGCAGAGTCTAGGGCAGGAAATCCCAGTGTACAATTAACAGCTTACCCTGGTTGTTTTGAATTCTACCGGCTCCTAGAGCTCACACTTCCCAGCAAGATACCACTCATAAACTAGAATGTCCACGTATTCAAGTACACAATTTGGGGTGGAGAGAAAGACCTTTATAGGGTGGGAGATTCACATCTTTAGCCTCTCCAGAGAGTCAAACTGGAATATTCTGTAGGAGTGAAGGAGAGGATCTGGGGTCTAATTAATCTCGTATTTTAAATAACAGCTTTATTGTGGCATAATCTACACATAATAAAAGTTACTCTGTTGTGTAAAATTGGTGGTTTTTAATATATTTAGAGTTGTGCAAACGTTGTTGTTGTTAGCTGCTATATAGACAGCCTCCAACTCGTGGTGACCCAAGGCACAACGGGAACTAACCATTGCGATCCATAGGGTTTTACGTGCTGATTTTGGGAAGTAGGTCGTCAGGCCCTTCTACCTAGTGTGTTTTAGTCTGGAAGCTCCACTGAAACCTGTTCAGCATCATAGCAACACGCAATCGTCCACTGACTGATACGTGGTGGCTGTGCCTGAGGAGCATTGGTCGGGAACTGAACTCGAATTTCCCACATGGAAGGCAAAAATTCTACCACTGAACCACCACAGTCTACCCCCTAGACTCTGACAACCACCAGTCTGCTTTCTGTCTCCACAGATTTGCCTATTCTGGACATTTCATATAAATGGAGCCATCTACCCTCCATGAGTTAAACGAATGTACACCTGCTTCGCAGAACCCCAAATGGCGTGCTGCAGAACTGACCAGCGTAGCCCAGTTCTCAATCAGGGTCCTAAAAAAAAAGCCAGAGAGCCAGACTCCCACCTGTGAGTGAAGCTTCCATTCTCCATGAGCAGGGTGAGTGTTTGCTACTAACTTTGACGACTTCGACATGAGGGAAATGACTACAGAGGCGAGCGCTCCAGTTGAGAGTCAGTGCTCAACGGAGACTTTGGGAGCCTGCTTTCCTTTCCCAGTCTGTTTCTCCGTAAGTAAAATGAGGCTGACCACAGGGGTGCGCAGGCAGCACGAGGCCAGGCCTATATGGCGCTCACGCATGGTGGGTGTACGTTACGGAGCCTAATCCCAGGGAATTCAACTCCGCTTCAGCAGAAAACATAACGTCAAAACCAGCTTTCCCGCCAGCGCGCTGGGCGGGCTTTACAAGCCAACCGGAAGCGCTTTCCTACGTAATCTCGCGCGCCGAGGGGCGGGGTCCGGAAGTTGTCTGTGAAAGCAGACGGAGGGGCTTCTCTTGAGTGTAGTCTTTGAGGCGGACGGGCAGAACTGAGACTTCAGTGGGGAACTACTGCCAGTTTGATGAATCAGTATTTTAAGAAGAGTGACCGCAGGCTGTCGCCACAATGGCTATTGTCCAGGTGAATTAACCGCATAGCTCAGAAGCAGCTCTTGTGACGCCCAGTGGGAGCCGCAGCCTGAGAGGATTCTGGGAACTGTAGTGGACCGAGCGAGGCCCTCACAGATTCTTAACCCCAGAGTGTCTTTTTCCACGCGGTAAGGAGGATCAGGAAAGACTGAGCCTAGTGTTAGGCCCCGAGGTAGAGTTCAGCTGGCAGGGGAGTGGGTCCGGTCGCGGGGCGGGGGGCTGCGCCCTGGCGGTGCAGCACCTGCGGTTTCCGATGTTCCAGTTTTAGATAAGGGGGCGAGGTTCAGGACGCGCATCTGGGGCAAGGAAATTTGGTAAGACAAAGCCACGGCACTACGCAAACGTTCTGTCCCCTTGTGGGGCTGGGACGATAGTGACCTGGAACTTCGAATTTCTTTTTTGAAGCGGGTAGGATTCGTCGGGAACAGACAATTACCGAATAGAGAGGGCTGCTCCGATCGTGCATTCCCGGCGTTATTTGGGCTGTGGGGATGAGTTCAGCCAGGGGCAGAGAGACTAACATCCCCTGTTGGTGGGGGCGCGGCTAGGGCTATAAAACCCTGGGGTTTTTTAGTGGGGAGCGCTTACATGGTCCTGCACTTCCAGGTCATAGTCGGAATCCCGGATTTACCGCGCATGTTAAGGTTGATTTGCTGTCGGTAGGGGCTGGAGACATCCCAGGTGGTAGTTGAGCGGGGGCAGGGGTGGTGGTGTCTCAGGATCTGCTGTGCTTTGGTGTGTTGCGGGGATGGGGAGGTGATTGGAGTAGAGCTTGGTATTTGTATTATATTGCTAGGGGGTTGTAGGAGAGTTTATCGGCTCTGGAGTCCCTGGGACTTTTAGCGGGTAGGGGAGGTTTTGGCCTGGGACCCACAGCTAAATGTACTCCAGTGGTGGTGAACTGAACTGCCAGGGCATGCATCTAGGCAGTTTTTTTCTGAGTGGGGCAGATCTCTTTCTCTGGGACCTGTTGTCCTAGTGTTTTTTGGGTGGCAGGGACCCACTCTACTTTGTGACAAACGTCTCCAGTTTAGTTTTAGTGTGGTGGCCGTTTTGCTGATTTCTCCCTTCCTCTGTCTGCTTCTGCCTTGAGTGTCAGGGTTCAGGTGGCCACCTCTGGTTTGGGGCTATAGGGAGGTTAGGTAGGGCAGTGTCTTAGTTATCTAGTGCTGCTGTAACAGAAATACCACAAGTGGATGGCTTTAACCGAGAGAACTTTATTCTCTCACTTGTTGTAGGGGAAAAACATCACAAAATTTAGTAAAGTAAAAAGAGTTTTATTTGGCATGTATTCAAAAGGACAAAAGTGGGAAGCAGACAAGCATGCTGCCAGAGCTAGAATGTCTGCCCGAATCCAAGGAAAGTTACAGAATCATCAGTATATATCAACATCACAAAATGGGTAGAATCATTGAAAGCGTCACTTTTTCACTGATTGGCTAGAAATTGTAATCTTACATTTTGAATCATCTTTCTTAACAATCATTGGTACAGGTTTCAGTTACGAAAGTCAGGAGGGTCTTCATTGGTCCAACAAATTCCTATTCACTAAATGTTAGT